GGCAGGGGAAGGAGGGATGAGAGGAGGGATGAAGGGTCAGGCTGAGGAAGGAGGGATGAGAGGAGGGATGAAGGGTCAGGCTGAGGAAGGAGGGATGAGAGGAGGGATGGGGAGGAGGAATGAGGGGTCAGGCAGAGGGAAGAGGGATGGGGAGGAGGGATGAGGGGTCAGGCAGAGGAGGGAGGGAGGGATGAGAGGTGAAAGGAGGAGGAGGAGGGATGGGAAGGAGGGATGAGGGGTCAGGCAGAGGGAGGAGGGATGGGGAGGACGGATGAGGGGTAGGGAGGGGGGAGGGATGGGAAGGAGGGATGAGAGGAGGGATGAGGGGTCAGGCAGAGGAAGGAGGGAGGGATGAGAGGTGAAGGGAGGAGGAGGAGGAGGAGGGATGAGGGGTAGAGAGGGGAGGGAGGGAGGGAGAGAGGGAAGGAGGGATGAGGGGGGAGGCAGAGGAGGGAGGGAGGGATGAGAGGTGAGAGGAGGAGGAGGGATGGGAAGGAGGGATGAGGGGTCAGACAGGGGAGGGAGGGAGGGATGAGAGGTGAAAGGAGGAGGAGGGATGGGGAGGAGGAATGAGGGGTTAGGCAGAGGGAGGAGGGATGGGGAGGAGGGATGAGGGGAAGGGGGTTAGGCAGAGGGAGGAGGGATGGGAAGGAGGGATGAGGGGTCAGGCAGAGGAGGGAGGGATGAGGAAGAGGGATGGGGAGGAGGGATGAGGGGTCAGGCAGAGGAGGGATGAGAGGGGTGAAGGGAGGAGGAGGAGGAGGGATGGGAAGGAGGGATGAGGGGTCAGACGAGGGAGGGATGAGAGGTGAAGGGAGGAGGAGGAGGAGGGATGAGAGGAGGGATGGGAAGGAGGGATGAGGGGTCAGACAGGGGAGGGAGGGAAGGAGGGATGAGGGGTCAGGCAGAGGAGGGATGAGAGGTGAAGGGAGGAGGAGGAGGAGGGATGGGAAGGAGGGATGAGGGGTCAGACAGGGGGAGGGAGGGAGGGAGGGAAGGAGGGATGAGGGGTCAGGCAGAGGAGGGATGAGAGGTGAAGGGAGGAGGAGGAGGAGGGATGGGAAGGAGGGATGAGGGGTCAGACGGAGGGGGAGGGATGAGAGGTGAAGGGAGGAGGAGGAGGAGGGATGAGAGGAGGGATGGGAAGGAGGGATGAGGGGTCAGACTGGGGAGGGAGGGAAGGAGGGATGAGGGGTCAGGCAGAGGAGGGATGAGAGGTGAAGGGAGGAGGAGGAGGAGGGATGGGAAGGAGGGATGAGGGGGTCAGGGAGGGGAGGGAGGGAAGGAGGGATGAGGGGTCAGGCAGAGGAGGGATGAGAGGTGAAGGGGGGAGGAGGAGGAGGAGGGATGGGAAGGAGGGATGAGGGGTCAGGCAGGGGGGGGGGGGGGGGAGGGAGGGATGAGAGGTGAAGGGAGGGAGGAGGAGGGATGAGAGGAGGGATGGGAAGGAGGGATGAGGGGTCAGACGAGGGAGGGAGGGAGGGAAGGAGGGATGAGGGGTTAGGTGGAGGAGGGATGAGAGGTGAAGGGAGGAGGAGGAGGAGGGATGAGAGGAGGGATGGGAAGGAGGGATGAGGGGTCAGACAGGGGAGGGAGGGAGGGAAGGAGGGATGAGGGGTCAGGCAGAGGAGGGGAGTGAGAGGTGAGGGAGGAGGAGGGAGGAGGGATGAGAGGTGAAGGGGGAGGAGGAGGAGGAGGGATGGGAAGGAGGGATGAGGGGTCAGACAGGGGAGGGGGAGGGAGGGAAGGAGGGATGAGGGGGTCAGGCAGAGGAGGGATGAGAGGTGAAGGAGGAGGAGGAGGAGGAGGGATGAGAGGAGGGATGGGAAGGAGGGATGAGGGGTCAGACGAGGGAGGGAGGGAGGGAAGGAGGGATGAGGGGTCAGGCAGAGGAGGGATGAGAGGTGAAGGGAGGAGGAGGAGGAGGAGGGATGAGGGGTCAGAGGGAGGGGAGGGAGGGAAGGAGGGATGAGGGGTCAGGCAGAGGAGGGATGAGAGGTGAAGGGAGGAGGAGGAGGAGGGATGGGAAGGAGGGATGAGGGGTCAGACAGGGGAGGGAGGGAGGGAAGGAGGGATGAGGGGTCAGGCAGAGGAGGGATGAGAGGTGAAGGGAGGAGGAGGAGGAGGGATGAGAGGAGGGATGGGAAGGAGGGATGAGGGGTCAGGACGGGGAGGGAGGGAGGAAGGGAAGGAGGGATGAGGGGTTAGGTGGAGGAGGGATGAGAGGTGAAGGGAGGAGGAGGAGGAGGGATGGGAAGGAGGGATGAGGGGTCAGACGGGGAGGGAGGGAGGAAGGGAAGGAGGGATGAGGGGTTAGGTGGAGGAGGGATGAGAGGTGAAGGGAGGAGGAGGAGGAGGGATGGGAAGGAGGGATGGAGGGGGTCAGACAGGGGGGAGGGAGGGAAGGAGGGATGAGGGGTCAGGCAGAGGAGGGATGAGAGGTGAAGGGAGGAGGAGGAGGAGGGATGAGAGGAGGGATGGGAAGGAGGGATGAGGGGTCAGACAGGGGGAGGAGGGAGGGGAGGGAGGGAAGGAGGGATGAGGGGTCAGGCAGAGGAGGGATGAGAGGTGAAGGGAGGGAGGAGGAGGGGAGAGGAGGGATGGGGAGGGGGGTCAGACAGGGGAGGGAGGGAAGGAGGGATGAGGGGTCAGGCAGAGGAGGGATGAGAGGTGAAGGGGGAGGAGGAGGGGAGGAGGGATGGGAAGGAGGGATGAGGGGTCAGACGGGGGAGGGAGGGAGGGAAGGAGGGATGAGGGGTCAGGCAGAGGAGGGATGAGAGGTGAAGGGGGGGGGAGGAGGAGGAGGAGGGATGAGAGGAGGGATGGGAAGGAGGGATGAGGGGTCAGAGGAGGGGGGAGGGAGGGAGGAAGGGGAAGGAGGGATGAGGGGTTAGGTGGAGGAGGGATGAGAGGTGAAGGGAGGAGGAGGAGGAGGGATGGGAGGAGGAGGGATGGGAAGGAGGGATGAGGGGTCAGACGAGGGAGGGAGGGAGGGAAGGAGGGATGAGGGGTTAGGTGGAGGAGGGATGAGAGGTGAAGGGAGGAGGGAGGAGGAGGGATGGGAAGGAGGGATGAGGGGTCAGACAGGGGAGGGAGGGAAGGAGGGATGAGGGGTCAGGGGGGAGGAGGAGGGATGAGAGGAGGGATGGGGGGGGGGGAGGGAGGAGGGAGAGGGGAGAGGAGGGAGGGAGGGGGAGGGAAGGAGGGATGAGGGGGGGGGGGGGGGGGGGGGGGGGGAAGGAGGAGAGAGGGGTCAGGCAGAGGAGGGATGAGAGGTGAAGGGAGGAGGAGGAGGAGGGATGAGAGGAGGGATGGGAAGGAGGGATGAGGGGTCAGACGAGGGAGGGAGGGAGGGAAGGAGGGATGAGGGGTTAGGTGGAGGAGGGATGAGAGGTGAAGGGAGGAGGAGGAGGAGGGATGAGAGGAGGGATGGGAAGGAGGGATGAGGGGTCAGACGGGGAGGGAGGGAGGAAGGGAAGGAGGGATGAGAGGTGAAGGGAGGAGGAGGAGGAGGGATGAGAGGAGGGATGGGAAGGAGGGATGAGGGGTCAGACGAGGGAGGGAGGGAGGGAAGGAGGGATGAGGGGTTAGGTGGAGGAGGGATGAGAGGTGAAGGGAGGAGGAGGAGGAGGGATGGGAAGGAGGGATGAGGGGTCAGACAGGGGAGGGAGGGAGGGAAGGAGGGATGAGAGGAGGAGGAGGGTAGGAGGCCGGAGCCGGGCCCGGCCTGCCCTTTCCCCGACCCAGCCCCGGCCCCACTCGCCCCCTGCCTTGGGGGGGGGGGGGGGCTGGGCACGGCCGGTGCCCGGCCGGCGCAGGTGGCCCCTGGGGCTGGTCGGGTGCCCGGGGGCGGGGCGGGAAGCGGCCGTGGGGCCGGCCCAGCTCCTCGCTGCTAATCGCAGCTGGCACCGGCCCCGGCTTCCCTCAGCCATTTTAGCTGCCAGCTGGGAATCCCTGTGCAAAATGGCTCCCGCCCGGAGGGAGGAGTGGCCGCGAGCCAGTGGGCACGGCCACCGGCCTCCCTGCACCGGGCCTGGCCCCACCGGCGGCCCCCTGCACCCCTGGCCCGGCCCCACAGACGCCAACCCCAGCGTCTCGCCCAGCCCCACAGACAACGAACCGCCCCCCCCCGCTCGGCCCGACTGACGCCAACCCCGGCCCACGGCCTGGCCCGACTGACGCCAACCCGCACCCTCGGCCTGACCGGCGCCGACCCCCAGCCCAGCCTGACCCACATCCCCAGCCCGGTCTGACCCACGCCAGCCCTGGTCTGACCCACGCCAAGCGGCACCCACTGCTCGGCCTGACCAACGCCAACCGCGGCCTGGCCTCACTGACGCCAACCCGCACCCCTGGCCTGAGCGGCGCCGACCCCCAGCCCGGCCCGACCCACGTCCCCAGCCCGGCCCGACCTGACCCATGCCAACGGGCACCCCCTGCTCGGCCTGACCAATGCCAACCCTGGCCTGCGGCCTGGCCCGACTGACGCCAACCTGCACCCCTGGCTTGACCGGCGCCGATCCCCAGCCCAGCCTGACCCACGCCAACCGGCACCCCCAGCTCGGCTCGACCAGCCCCGGCCCTTGGCCCTGCCCGACTGACACTGACCTGCACCCCCGGCTCCACCCACACCGGCCTGACCCACACCAACCTCTGACCCATGATGCCGACCCCCAACTCCCATCTCTGAGGGATGGCCTGTGAAGACACAGTGCCCCTTGGGTTGGGGTGCGGGGGGACGTTGCAGGATTGGGGGCACTGGGTGAGTTTGTGGGGAGCTCACAGCACCAGTGCCCCGGCTGCCACCACTTTGGGCCGTACGGTGGGGGTGGGGTGGGCGCCAGCCCCAATTTAGCACAAACCACGCTGCCCTGCAGCTCCAACCACTAGAACCCACTCCCCTCCCAGAGCCGGGGAGAGAACCCAGGAGTCCTGGCTCCCGGCCCTCCCGCTCTAACCACTAGCCCCCGCTCCCCTCACGCCTGTCTCTCCCTCCCCAGCTCTGTGGCCCCGCCATGGCCCCGGTGCTGGAGCTCTCGGACGCCGCTCACGCCCGCTGCCTGCTGGTGGAGCTGAATGAGCAGCGGCTGCGGGGCCAGTTCTGCGACGTCACCATCATCGCCGAAGACACCAAGTTCCCGGCCCACAAGAACGTGCTGGCGGCTTCCAGCCCCTACTTCAAGGAGGTGCTGTCGGAGGAGCCGGCCGGCTGCCAGCCGGCCCAGGTGCTGGAGCTGCCCGACATCCAGGCCGGGGTCTTCTCTGACATCCTCAACTTCATCTACCGCTCCCGCCTCTCGGTGCCCAGCCCGGCCGCCGCCCAGCAGATCGGAGCCGCCGGGCGCCGCCTCGGCATCTCCTGGCTGGAGAACCTGGACCCCGCCGCACAAGCCAAGGAGATGAGCGAGCCCTGGAGCCCCGAGGCCGCCGGAGACACCTCGGCCTCCTCCCCGAGATCCTGCGCCTCCCCCGTGGACCTGACCTGCCCGTCGCGGCCGGCCGCCAGCCCCGTCTGCCTCCAGGAGCCGGCCCGGCCGCCCAGCCCGCAGCGGGAGGTGGACAGTGAAACTGAGACGGCGAAGATCCTCTACGCCCTGAGCACGGCGCCCGCCGAGCCGGGCGCCCCAGACTGGGAGCGGGAGCGTGGCGCCGGAGACCCCCCCCCCGCCGCCGGGAGCGAGCCGGCGCCCTCCTCTTCCTCGCCGGCGGGCAGCGCCTTCCGCTGCGGGCTCTGCAGCCGCTCCTTCGCCACGCCGGCCGCCCTGAGCCTCCACCTCAAACTGCACCGGAGCCGGCGCTCCCTCTCCTGCCGCCACTGCGGCAAGAGCTTCATCCACGTCAAGCGGCTGCAGACGCACGAGGTGCTCTGCAAGGAGGCGGGCGAGGAAGAGGAGGAGCCGGCGGCAGCGGGCGGCTCGGAGGCTCCGGCCCCGCTTCCTCCCGCCGCTCCGGCGCCGCCCAAGCCGGCGTCTTCCAAGAAAGGGCTTCTCTTCCGCCACCGGGCCCTGCAGCGGCTGGAGTATATCCCGGAGCAGGACCACTTCGTCAAGGTGGTGGACGGGCACGTCATCTACTTCTGCACCGTCTGCGAGCGCTCCTACATGACCCTCTCCAGCCTCAAGCGCCACTCCAACGTCCACTCCTGGCGGCGCAAATATCCCTGCCGCTACTGCGACAAAGTCTTCGCCCTGGCCGAGTACCGCACCAAGCATGAGGTGTGGCACACCGGCGAGCGCCGGTACCAGTGTGTTTTCTGCTGGGAGACCTTCGTCACCTACTACAACCTGAAGACCCACCAGAAGGCCTTCCACGGCATCAACCCGGGGCTCATCTCCTCCGAGAAGACGCCCAACGGGGGCTACAAGCCCCGGCTCAACGCCCTCAAGCTTTACCGCCTCTTGCCCATGCGCTCCCAGAAGCGGCCCTACAAGACGTACAGCCAGGGCCTGCTGCCGGAGGGCCTGCTGCTGCCCCCGCCGCAGCCCCTCCCCGTGGCGCTGGGCGTGGGGGACGCCGGCCCCGGCGGGGAAGGCGGGGCCCGCCTTTGGGGCCGCCCAGGCCTTGGAGCCGCCCGAGGCCGAGCGATTCCTCCGGCCGGCGCCGGCCGAGCAGCGCGAGCCGGGGCCGCCCCCTTTGCCGGTGGAGGAGGCGCGGCGGGCGCCGGCGGAGGGCGAGGCCCCGTCGGTCATCGCCTACGGCCACCCGGCCTCCTCAGTCATTGTGCACAGCACCTCGGTGGTGCCGGCGGGAGGCGGGGGCGGCCAGGCCTCCTCGGTCATCACCTTCAACAGCGCGCCGGCCGCCCCCCGCCCCGCCCCGGCCGAGCCCCTCAAAAAACAAGTGCTGAAGGAATACATCCAAGCCCAGAAGGTGGCTGAGCAGGCCGCGGAGCAGGCAGGCGGCGGGGAGCCGCCCAAACCCCGCAGCCTGCGGCCCGGCCGCACCATGACCTACATGGCCAAGCCGGCCTACGTTGGGGCCGCCTCGGAGAGCCGCAGCGCCCCGCTGTGCCAGATCACGGTGCGCATCGGCGAGGAGGCCATCGTCAAGCGGCGCATCTCCGAGACCGACCTGATGCTGGACAAGAGCCCGCGGGGCCCCAAGCGCTTCGAGTTCGGGCCGGCCGAGAAAGCGGCTCCCGGCAAACGCGCCGGCGGCTCCTACGCCAACAACGAGAGCGGCGAGGAGGAGAGCGACCGGGACGCCGAAGACCATCTCTGGCGTCCGTACTACACCTACAAGCCCAAGCGCAAGGCCTGCGGCTCCGGCGGGACCAGCTCTGGCGTCCCCAAGGTGAAGCGCTCTTCCCGGTGGCGCCGCAAGCTACGCTCCCTCCGCTGGATGAAGCGGGCGGAGGAGGAGGAGGAGGAGGAAGGGGAGGAGGCCAGCCTGGCGCCCGCCCCCGCCTCGCCCGTTCCCGGCGGCTCCGACGCCCCGGCGCCCGAACCGGCGCACAAGGCCGGGCGCGGCAGCGCCGAGTGGAAGCACGAGTGCGGTGCCTGTGGCAAGCTCTTCTCGGCGCTGAAGAAGCTGCGGAAACACGAGCGGGTGCACGGGCGGCCGGACAAGGACGATCCGGCGCCGGCTCCGGCCCACCGGGTGGGCCGCAAGCCCTCGGTCAAGTTCACCTGCACCCACTGCGCCAAGGTCTGCAAGACGGCGGCGGCCCTGAGCCGCCACGTGAAGCGGCACGAGGGGGAGAGCCGGGAGCCCGGCCCGCCCGCCATGACCACCGTCATTGCCTATTCCAAAAAGCCGGAGGAGCCGGAGCCGGCGCTGACGGCCGTCAAGGAGGAGATCACGCAGGAGATGCAGGTCTCGTCGTCCAGCGGGGAGCCGCCGGCGGCGGAGGCCGGTCGGGCCCGCGCCGCCGGCCAGCCGGCCACGCCGGAGAGCCAGGGGGCAGCGCCGCCCCGGGAGGAAGAGGTGATGCCCCCGGAGACGGGCGGGCCAGAGGAGGTGGCTGCCCCGCTAGCCGAAGCCACCACCAGCCGTGCCGAGCTGGCCCCGGCCCCGCCCGCCCCCCGGGCCGCCCTCTCCTTGCAAGACCCTGTCATCTCGCACACCAGCCCGGCCCCGGCGCCGCCCGACCAGGAGGAGGCGGGCGGCTACCCGGAGCGGTACCCGGTGCAGGAGTACCCCCTGCCCCTGCTGGCACCGGGGGGCTGCCGGACCCGCAAGGAGGCGGAAGAGAAGCCTGCCTTCCTCGCCTACCCCAGCCCCGTCCCCTTCAACGCCGTGGGCAAGGCCGGAGACGGGGAGGGCAAGGTGAGCTTTTACCCCGACCCCTACCCGCTCATGTACGGGCACCAGCTCCTGGCCGCCTACCCGTACAACTTCACCAACCTGGCCGCCCTGCCCGTGGCGCTGAACATGGTCCTGCCGGACGACAAAGGCCAGCCCCTGCCGTTCCTGCCCAGCGTCTTCGGCTACTCGGTGAACCCGTGCCGCAACGAGGCCCAGGACGGGGCCGGGGCCAGCAGCGGGGCGGGGGGCGGGCCGGCCCTTCCCCGGGGAGGGGTCCGGGGGGAGCCCCCGGCCCCCGAGCGCCTGAAGAAGGGAAGTTTCCTGTGAGGGGCGGGGGGGGGGGAAGGTTGCCGGAGCTGGGCTCTGTGATATGGGGGTGAGGCGGGCCGGAGCCTGGGCGGGGAGTGGAGGGAGGGGCTATTGAGGCCCCCCCCCCCCCCCGGAAGTGTGATGTGAGGACCTGGGCTGTGAGCTGTCACTCCCGATGGAGCAGCCCTGCCCCCCAGTGACTTCCGGGGAACCCCTCCCAGTCCCCCCCCCAACCCCGAGGGGTGCCAGAGCCCCAGCCTCACAGCTGGCACATCTGGGGGGGCAGGGGGTTGTTACCCCAAGGGAGGGGCTCCCCCCATAACGCTGAGTGGGACCAATATGGGGGATGGGGTACCCCATATGCCCCCCAGAGAGTAAGGAGGTGGTTTGGGGCTGGAGGAGCCCGGCTGCGAGGGTGGGGGGGGGCACTACAGTTTTCCCCTCCCAGAATGCACTGCAAATACCCCTACCCCCACTGCAGCCCGGCTTCCTGCCCCGGGCAGTCCCCCCACCTGCCGCTGTCCTCAGCTTCCTGTCCTGGGCCCCCCATTCCCCTGCCCCGGACACCCCATGCACCCCCCATTCCCTTGCACCAGGCACTTCATGCACCCCCCCATTCCTCTGTGCTGGGTACCCCATGCACCCCGTGTTCCCCTGTCCTGGTCACCCCTTATTCCCCTGCCCTGGGTACCCCATGCACCGCACATTCCCCTGCCCCGGGCACCCCATGCACCCCATTCCTCTGTGCTGGGTACCCCATGCACCCCCCATTCCTGTGCCCTGAGCACCCCATGCACCCCATTCCTCTGTGCTGGGCACCCCAGGCACCCCCTATTCCCCTGCCCCGGGCCCCCCCTTTCTCTTGCCCTGGGCCCCCCGGGCCCCCCGCATTCCCCCTCCCCGGGCCCGGGCGCCCGGCCCTGGCGGGGCGCCAGGCTCGGCGGGTGACGCGGCGTTCTGGAGCCTCGACCGGCTGAGTCACTTTTTCCTTTCGGGCCGGGAGCCCTGCCCCGGCTCCGGCCCTTCCAGAAACTTCCCCGCGGGGGGGGGTGTGTCCTGGCTTCTCCCAGCAGGGGGGTGCTGCCCCCTGGCCCCCAATCTTCCCTGTGGGGAGATGGGGGGGTTCCCATTTGCACTAGCCGTTTCCTGTTTTGGGCCACTGACCCCCCCCCACCGCTGCACTAGCCCCTTCCCCGCTCAGAGCGCCCCGTCTTTCTCCATCACCCCCTCCAGGACCGGACCCCCCCCCTTGTAGGAATTAGGACCCCGGAGCTGGCTCTGGGATGTCGGTTCACACCCCCCCCCCAGATGGCAAGACAGGGGGGTGGTATAGGAAAAAAGGGGGGTATCCCCCCAAAAAAGAGACCCCTAATACGACTGTGTGGTTCAAGCGACTCCAAAAGTGTGGGGGGCCCCCTCGGCCTACCCAGCCAACTCCAGCCCCCCACGATTCCTCCCCAAACCTGCCCCCCTAAAATCCCCTCCTCTGTCCCCCCACCCCAAGCTGCTTCTCTGCCAATGTCCCTAAAATCTCCCCGTCCGCTGTGCCCCCCAATCCACCCCCTGCCCCCCCAAATCCTGCGCCTCTACTATCCAGCTGCCCTCACTGGCCCCCCTCAGACCCCCCAAAAACTAGCACATTTTAAACCATCCAATCTCTGGGTGGAGGGCTGCATTACAGATCTTTGGGGGGACCTGTCACCCCTTATTCTGCAGATCTTGTCCCCCCCAATTGCTAGCACCCCCCTCCCCTTAAGAACCAGGTTCCTTTGCCTTCTTTTGGGGGGGACCCCATGCACTCCCATTCCCCTGTGCTGGGTACCCCATGGGGGTGCATGGGAGGAGGGGGGGTCTGCACCCCTTTGATCCCTGACATCTGGGTCACGAAGGATTTGAGCTGCGCCGTGAAGGGGGGAGGGGGATTGTGCCTCTCCCAGAATCCTTTGTTGCCCTAGGAGGCGAGTGGGTCAGATTTGGGGGAGCAAAGGGGTGTGTGGATTTCCCTGTGGGGGTTGACGGGGTGGGAATCTGGGGTTCAGCCCGTTTATACAGCCCCGTAGCTGGGGGGATGATCTCCCTGGCTCAACCTGGGGGGAGGGGCTAAGGAGGAAATGGGGGGGAGGAAATTTGTCCCCCCACTTTCAGACAGCCCCCCCGAAATTTCCCCCCCAAACTCACCCCTGAATTGTCCCCCTAAACTGCCCCTCCCCCCCAAACTCACCCACGACCCCCATGGACCATTGGGCTGGGGAGGGAAGCAGAGAATCCCCCCCCCCCCCCCCCACTTCCAAGGATGGGGGAGGGTCTCTGTCACTTCTCCCCCCGCCCACCGTTCCAGCCAGCAGGGGGTGCTGCTGGGCATGCAGCTTTGCCCTGGGCTCTGATCTGCCTGGGGGCCCCCTCCCAGGCCGGCCGCTGCCCCCCGCCGTTGGGGGCGCGCCGTGGGGCTGCAGCACCGGAAATGGGGCCGGGCGTGCGTAGCCCTTGTGCACGTCCCTACAGCGTGGCAGGGCACGGCCCCGCTGCAGCGTGGGGGCCCGTGCCCCCCGGCCCTGCTGCATCGTGGGGGGCCGTGCCCCCCGGCCCCGCTGCCGCCCGGCGCTCCCTGCTGCGGCGCAAGCCGGCGCCGGGCTGCAGCTCCCCGTGGGCCGTGCGCTGCAATAAAATGCGCGCCCCCCCGGTACTTTGGTGCAGCCCCATGCACATTCCAGCCCCCGCCGGGCAATGCCGACTGCGGGGCGAGGGCCATGGCAATCCAGCCCCCCCCCCCTGCAGCCCACCCATGCATCCACTGCATTGCAATGGACCCCCCCACCCCCCCCGGCGTGGATTGCATGGGTGGGCTGCGCGGGGGCGGATTTAGCAGAGAGCACCAAAGGCCTCCTGGGCGCGTATCCCCCTGCAGTTGGGGGGCGGGTGGTGGGGGGGGGATCGGGGCCCGGGGAGGGGGGGGGCAGTCACTGATTTGTACATAGCTGTCCGTCTCGGAGATCTTTTTTGCACTTTCGTCACTGAGCCCCCCCCCAGTGAGCGTGGAGCCTTGCTACTGAATGTAACCTTCGTGTTTATTTTCTAGATTGCACCTCGGGTTAGTCTGACGGCACTTTATAGACCTAACGAACCGGTGGAACCCCCCCCGCCCCCCCCCCAAGAAACGAGCAAGCAAAAAACCCACCCCCCCAACCGCCCCGCCCGCCCCAAACCAAGGTAAAACGTTTCCGACCCTCCAGAAAATCCCCCCCCCCACCCCCTTCCAGCCGCTTTGATCCCGGTCTCTCTGTTCCAACCGTGACTGTGTGGAAGACCCGTAGAGAACAAGCCGATATTTATCTTTCTGCATCTCTTGTGTGTAACTCGAATAACTTCTCCGAAATAAAACGACGACTATACGCTCAGCGATGGCGGCTGGTGACCCGGGGCCCCCTCGGCCGGTGCTGAGATGTGGCCACCTCTGGGGCGGGGCGGCCGGTGACCCGGGGACCCCTCGTAGGGCGCGGAGTTGCGGCCACCTCTGGGGTGGGGCGGCTGGTTACACGGGGACCCGGCGCCGGGATGCGGCCACCTCTGGGGCAGGGCGGCCGGCGCCCCGGGGCCCCCTCCTCCGGTGCCAGGACGCGGCCGCCTCTGGCAGGGGGGGTGGCTGGTGACCCCTCGTAGGGCGCGGAGTTGTGGCCACCTCTGGGGCGGGGCGGCTGGTGACACAGGGACCCCTCATAGGGTGCGGAGTTGCAGCCACCTCTGGGGCGGGGCGGCCGGTGACCCGGGGCCTCCTCGCCCAGTGCCGAGACGCGGCCTCCTCTGGGGCGGGGCGGCTGGTGACCCCTCGTAGGGCGCGGAGTTGTGGCCACCTCTGGGGCAGGGCGGCCAGTGACCCAGGGACCCTTGTAGGGCGCTGAGATGCAGCCACCTCTGGGGCGGGGCGGCTGGTCACACGGGGACCCCTCGCCCGGCCCTGAGATGTGGCCACCTCTGGTCTGACGCCCGAGGGAGGCGTGCCCCTCGCACTGGGGCCAGCCCAGACTGCCAGGGGAGGGGGGGCTACCAGGGGCTGAGCCCGGTCCCTGGCATGGCCAGCAGGGGGTGTTGCAGGGGGATATTTGCGCCCCCCCTCCCCCCCGCCGCCTCACCATCCTGTCTCTATTTGACCCCTCCCTGTCTGGGAGCGTGAGCCACATAACTTAGTAACCAGCCACTGCCCATGAGGGGTCAGATGGGGTCAGGGTTGCAGGGGGGCTGGGAGATGGGGGTTTACTGCAGGGCCAAGAAAGGGGTCCCCAGTCCATTGGGGCTGCCTGAGTCTATTGGGGTCCCTGTGCCCATGCGGGGGGGGGGGCTCCCCGCTGCTGGAGCTGTCACCCCTGGGGCCTTAACCTGCTGCCCCCCATCCCATGGCACCAGGTTCCACCCCCCTCGTGCCTCAGTTTCCCTCTCTGCCCTTCCCCTAGCTGGCTGTCCCTGGGGGCTGGTTCCGATCCAGCCAGCCGGGGCGTGATCCGACGCCCCCCTCCGCCCGCAGGGGCCAACGCCCTGTCATCTCTTTCCCCCCGGGGCGGCCCTGACCCTTGAGCCGGTTGTGACGCCACCCCGCTGTTGTCAGCGAGCGAGCCCCTGTTAGCCAGCCCCGCAGAGCGGCCGGCGGGGCAAAGGGGCTCGGAGCGGGTGGCCCTCGGCTCTGACACGGGATCCCTTCTCCGGGCGCCATGGGCTTCCCAGCCGGGCTCCTGGTCCTGTTGTCGGTAGGGGCCCTGCCGTGCCAGCCGATAACCCACGGGGACTCGGCCAAGGTGAGCCTGGCGTGGGGCTGGGCAGGGCGGGAGGCTGGTGCCAGAGCTCATTGGCATGCTGGCAACGTGGTGTAAACCCCCCCCCCCAGCTCTGCCCCCTCTAGCGGCGCCCTGCCTCAGTTTCCCTCCGGGGAAAACAAGGGGACAATTCCGAGTGGGAAGCGAAAGGTCTGGCTAGACCTAAGCTGGGTTTTTTTTTCTGGTCCCCCCGCTATGGGGTGGATACACCCCACACTGGAGAGGTGAGGGGGCAGGAAGCTCGGCCCAGTGAGGTGTGCCCCGGCCGGCCAAAGGATATAAAAGGGGGCACGGCGGGAGGAAGAAACCGGGGGGACAGCGGGTCAAGGGCTTCAGAGGGAAATGAACAGAATGGGGCAAACGGTGCACGGCCGTCCCCTGGCATCTGGTTTAGAGACACCCGGGACCCATGTCCCAGACTGTCTTGGCTAACAGCGATCGTAGAAGAAGATTGGGGTCAGAAGAGACCTCAGGAGGTATCTAGTCTGACCCCCTGCCCAAAGCAGGACCAACCCCAACTAAATCAACCCAGCCAGGGTGATCCTCCAGGAACTCATCCCATGCTTTCCACCGTCTCGTTTTGTCGTGCTGACGTCCCTCCGGCGAGGAGTTCCGCAGGTCAACGGTGCCCTGGGTGGCTGCTTGAAACCCACCGTGTGTGACAGCAGAACCTCAGGGTTACCAAGACCCGAGTTCCGGACCGGGCCACCCCGCACCCCTCGTCCGTACCCGGAAGGAGGCGGTCGGCATTAGAGACCCAAAAAGCAAACACTGTACAGTACCATGTTAACCATAAACTACTGTACTAACAAAACACAGGGCGAGTTCAAAAAACCCCCCACCTGGGCCAAGGGCAGGAAACGGCTCGTGGGCGGGTTTCGTTTGAACGCTGAGGGTTCAAAGCAGCGTTTGCCTCCTGCCGACTCAAGTCCGGGTCCGGCTGTAAACGCTGGCTCCGGTCAGCCTGACGGCGGTTTCGGAGTTACCGACGCCTTCCGCCTTCGGGGCGCTGAGGTTGTGGTGTCGTTTCGTGGGGTGAATCCTTGTGCCGGGATCAACGCTGCCTGTCCCCCTTGTCCACGTGCTGGTCGCCCCCCTCGACGAATTCTAGTAGATCGGCGAGGCGTGATTTTCCTTTACAAAACCCCACGTTGACCCTGCCCCGATGAATCCTCTTCCTCTCCGCGTCCCGTCATTCGGATTTTGACTTGCGTGTCAAGTCGGATGCCTGGCACTGAGTCAAGGGCAACATTAGAGACAGTGGGTCCATGGTTATTAGGTGTCCTCTGTCTGTGGCATGGATGGGGTGCCTATCATTGTGGTCTCTAGGCCCCTGGCCCTCTTTCACGCATATCTTCTCACAGCCCCCACTCCCGGGAGGCAGGGCGAGGTGGGGAAACTGAGGCACGGGGCGACTTACCCACAGTTTGCGGCGGAGCCGGGAGTCCAGCCCGCAACCCCGTGCTCGGACCACTTCCTCTCCAACCCATCCCGGACCTACAGAGGCCCTGGGGTGATAATAGCCGACAGCGTGTCCCCCTTGCCGGTGAGTTTGCACGCTGGTGGGGGTGTGTTGTCGCACGGGGTGTACAGGCCGCCTGGCTGTCCCAGCCACGACCGGGTTGACAGGGAGCTGCGGCAGGGGACAGGTAGCCGGGGGCTGCGAGTCTGGGAAACAAGTCCCAGAAGAGGTGGGGCTTGCACTATGGTGTTCATCTGGCCTGGCCCCTGATTTTCTACTGATATGGGTCAGCCTGGGCCTGTCCTTATCCGTGACCCGTTCAGTCTCAGACCGCTCAGCCCCAAGAGCAGACTTTGTCCTGTTCCCCCACCCTGCTCCACAGAGCAGCCCCGGAAAGCCTAAGGGGGAAACTGAGGCACGGCTAGGCCTCATCAAAAAAAATACTCCCAAAGCTGCCCACTCCAGCGCGTGCGGGCCGGAGACCTGCCCCGAAATAATGCCCAGAGCAGATCTCTCCAAAAAGCACCCGGGGTCGGCGATGGAGAATCCTGGTGAGCCGATAGTAACTCCCCCCCGCCCCAAGTTAACTCCCCGTAATTCGTCCCTTGTGAACAAAGATCTGTAGCTTTCTCGCAGTTCACACACACACACAGTCCTAGTTTCCGTCTCCCTGTTGCGCTAATTCCAGGGGGGGGGTGTTTCCGGTATCTTGGTTTACATGGGGGACAAGCTACAGGGCTGTCGGATCCAGCTGTTGCTAAGAACATCTGGGGCGGCGAGCCAATCCCGGAAACGTCGCTCACCGGGTCCGTGCTTCGTCACGGCTGGAGGAGCGGACTGAATACGGCGTGCAGACCTGGTG